AAGGCCATCGGATTTGGCTATGAAAGAGTCAGGTCCAGTATAAAATTGAGTCCTAGAGTACTAACCACAACTGGGTTAACCAATTGGTGAACAAATGAACAGTTTCGAGCTTATTCAAATCAAATCATGCTGGTTGTAATCCAACTTACATTCAGTTCATACGTACACCGATAAACACAGATACCTTTATTCTGGAGGTGTCAATAGCCAAATAATTTCATTTAATTGCATGTAAACTACGAGACTCACTTGACTTCACATTGCTATGAACATATATACTTTTTTCCAGAGTTTAATCAGGCCTACGCGTTCTATCACTGGTAATATAATTGAACTACACGGCTGTCCTACATATTCACTTGCTTACATAGTGTTAAATAATCTCCTCATTCATTCCAGGAATTCATGACATCAACTACAACTTGAAACATGATAATAAACCTAACTAATCATGGAGCATGATATCTTACTGCTTTGTATTACTAAGGTTGACACAAATGAAACAAATGAAAGGAAAATGGAGGCCTACAGCCCAAGTCTTAGTCAGTTAATCCAATGGAAACAATCCTAATGAAAACATAGCAGTCTGTAGTCCATTGTTTATGTTAGTACAAAACCAGAACTAAACTACACTAGACAAATACATGCAACAAACAACATTTATCTAATTACAGAACTGATCTAACAAGCAGGTATCAATGAAGCAAATTCATTCTATTTCCAACTTGAAGGTTACATCAAGGTAGATCCAAGTGTGTAGCTGGGCAATGAAACAAAAGAAGAGAAGAGGTGATCAGCAGCAGATTTGAGTTTGCAAACAAGCTCAAACAGCAACACAGAGCAGTAGAGGATTCAGTTATAACCCAGCAGCAGTATTGATTGACCCGGACCAATTTTAACCCTTAGTTCACTCGAAAAAAAAAGCTTGAATACACCTCAAACCCACTTGAAATTAACCCAGTAACACTCAGAAGGATTCAGCATTCAGATATTGAGCTAGAAAGTGTAAATCAACAAGTAAAATCTCAAATAACCTAAGGTTTTCAATGTAACATTTTTTTTTGATTTTTGAAAGTTTTCTGTTGTTTTTGGATTTTTTGGGCAGAAATTCAGATCTAGAAGAAAATTTGAACTATATGAATGCAGGTTTTTCACTTCCTTAGGTTTTGAAGTTCAAATTTGAACTTCAGAACTTTAGAATGGGATTTTGGGGGAAAATTAAAAGCTGGAATGTCTTTTGGGAATTTTTCAGAATGTAAAACTTGTGAATGAAGGCAGAATACATGCCTTTTATAGGCAAGCATTAGGGCAACATTCAAATTTTCCCTTTACACCTTCTAGTCC